CTTAACCCTTAACCCTTAACCCTTAACCCTTAACCCTATACCCTATACCCTATACCCTATACCCTATACCCTATACCCTATACCCTAAACCCTAAATATACCCTAAACCCTAAACCCTAAACCCTAAACCCTAAACCCTAAACCCTAAAAACCCTAAAAACCCTAAAAACCCTAAACCATAAATCCTAACCCATAACCCCTAAACCCTAACCCCAAAACCCTAAACCCTAAACCTTAAACCCTAAACCCTATACCCTATACCCTATACCCTAAATAACCCTAAATAACCCTAAACCCTAAACCCTAAACCCTAAACCCTATACCCTATGCCCTAATCCCTAAACCCTAAACCCTAAAAACCCTAGACCCTAAACCTTAGACCCTAGACCCTAAACCCTATACCCTAATACCCTATACCCTATACCCTATACCCTATGCCCTAATCCCTAAACCCTAAACCCTAAACCCTAAACCCACTTTTAATTTTTCCCCAACCTCCTCCTCAAGTGATGTGTCTACAAAATAACAATTAGCTATTGTATTGAGATACATAAACAAATTGGGCCAAGTAATAGAAAAGTTCATTGGTATTAGTCATGTATCTTCCATAAATACAGTTGCACTCAATGCATCAATTGAAGCTCTTTTAGCAAAACATTCATTAAGAATTTACATAGAATACGGAGCCAAGGCTACGATGGAGCATTTAATATGCGGTGTGAGTTTAATGATTTGTAGTACTCATTCAAAAAGATAATCACCAGGCTTTTTACATTCATTGTTCTATTCATCAACTCCAATTATGCTTAGTGTCTATTGCAAAAAAAAAAATCGTTGGCAAATAAAACATTTATTTGATATCACTTTAAGAATTGACAATATTGTTAGATCTTCATGCAAAAGAAATAATACCCTAAAAATTATTCATCGTAATAAGATAGTTTTTCATTTAAGTTGTAGAGATTTAAATAGTGGTCGTGGTTTGAACCAAGAAATAAATTTGCATCGTGTTCGAGACACCCGTTGGAGTTCTTATTTTAAAACATTAATAAGTATAACCAAAATGTACTCGAAGTGCTTATGTACTCGAAGTGCTTAAAATTGTCAAGGAAGAGATGATACATGATCAACAATCAGTGAAAGCTAGCATTTGAATATATACCATGAAATCATTTAACTTTGTCTTAGCACTGTATTTAATGATTGATATTTTAGATATTATAAATGAATTATTACAAACCTTACAAAAAAAAATATCATAATATTATAAATGCAATGAAATTAGTAAAAGTGTTAAAGCAACGATTACAGATGATAAAAGAAAATGAATATGTGACTTTACTTGAATAAGTGTCACGATTTTGTAATGTTTTTAAAATTGAAATTTCCAATATAAATTCTAAACTCAAGGCTCATGGACAGTCGGTACGAAAAAGGACAGAAATAATAAATTTTTATCATTATCGAGTTGATTTATCCTATGTTGTTATTAATATACAACTACATGAACTAAATAATCAATTTTCTTAAATTAATACCGAGTTATTTCTTTATGTGACATGTCTAAATCCGAGTGATATGTTCTCTTCTTATAATAAGGAAAAATAATTCGTCTTGCAGAGTTATATCCAACAGATTTCTCTATGATTGATCTTGTGTCTCTTGAACATTAATTACCTACTTATATTATTGATATGCGCACAAAGAATGAATTCACATCATTGACTAGCATTACTGATCTTGCAAAACAGATGATAAAGGATAAAAAATATTATATATCCCTTGATTTATAGACTTATTATTTTAGCACTGACTTTATCATTTGCTACTTCTACAATGGAGAGAGCATTTTTTTTAATGAAGATTATTAAGCATCATTTGCATAGCAAAATAGGTGATTTTTGGCTCAATGACTGCCTAATATCTTATATTGAGAAAAAAATATTTGATTTTATTCCAAATGAAGTCATTATACAATATTATTAAAAAATGCAAAGTAGAACACAAATTTTTCATAAAAGATAATGAATTACAAGACTTTATTTGGCACTGAAATTCTCACCGGTCATATGCCCACTCTAAAAAAATGATAGGGATCCGCCACTCTAAAAAATACCAGACTTCTATGTTGCCTGCGTGAGCCAACATCTCCTGCACTGACATATGTTGCCTGCTTCCGAAGTCATCGGCTCAATCTCTTCCCAGCATCCTTAACTTCTCATCCTAGCGATATCATTAAAAATTTTCGAAGCCTAAAATCAATCCCAAAGAAGAAAATCATTCTCTCCCTTAGCCGCTCTCCTCTCGTGTGAGATTTTTCACATCCATTGTCAGTTCCTCGGCTGCACAGCCCTTCCATCATAGACATTCTCAAGCCATACAATTAGGTGAAGTTAATGTGAAGTTACACTATAGCATGATCATTTACGTTGCTCATTCTGATAGTTAAAAAATAAAAAATAGCAAATTACTCTTAGTTACGTAACAGAATGCTCTGGTTTAGACAATACAAGGGAATTCGTCAAATTATTAGAAAGTAAAAAAATAAACCTATTGTAAATAACAAGTGCTTACGCATGCTGGCATCAAAGAATGAAACAGTCTATGCATAATCTGGCATGAACTTTCTGAGGAATGTAATTGGCTGTGCCTCTTCTGGAGCAATCTTGTCGAAGGGAAAATAGAACCTTTCCTTGTTGTATACATGACAAGTGGTCATTATCGTTTTCATCAAACGCCAGTTCCAATTGGCTTCATTCAGATACTTCATGTAGGTTCCAAGATGAAAATTTTCAGTGTTAGAATACATTACTGAAGCAAATATCAATTCTGCATCTTGTTGGTTTGTCAATAGAAAACGTATTATTTCTTTTCACATTTTTTATGCATAAAAACAAATAAATTAAATTAAGGAATCTTATTAAATTTAAAACCCATGATGATTTCCAATTATATCAAAATGAGATGGAATCTAGCAAATTCAATCACTTTTTTAGAACTTCTATTAGGGACGTTCAACAACATTCATATTTTCTAGGTTTACCACTCAATTTTGGATGTTTGTACCAAAAAAATCCTTTTGCTGATGGTATACCAGTATAAATCCTTTTTTTTAATCCATGAAGAACCAAATGGGCAATAAAATCTTAAATTTACCTTGCCCCAGTTCTCTTGGAGTGAACGATGTGCCTCCCGAAGGTTGTAGGATGGAATCCTTGGAGAAATGTGATGGGGAATATGCACATTGATATCATGGCATAGAATCTCTATCCTGTTAAGACAATATTTTTCAGAAAATTCAATTTTGATCAGTCGAATAAAAGACCATGACAGCACGATAAGTACTAACTTGAGAAAGGATGAGAAAGATGAAGTCTGAAAGACACACCATCGAGGGTAGTTACAATGGACTGTTCCATTAAGCTGGGCTTGAGCAGCATTCCATTCATCTGAAGCCTTGAAAGGTATGTGAGGAGCAGTGTGATGAACCATAGTGAAAGTACTCATCTATGAAATTCAGTAACTAGCAGGATAAATAATTGACTTCTTAAAATATTAAGTTTTATTCAATATGAAAAAAAAGTAGAACATAAAAACAGGAAGAATGTACCCAAAAGTGATATACTAGCCATGGCATGAACCATAACTTGATCCATCCCACAATACCAGCCTTATAAATAATCAGCGGCCACCCAATCATAATGAAAGCAAAGACACATGCCAAGCTTATCTTAACACGTCCAACTTCATTTGGTTTGAACTTTCTTAAATCAAAGTGCCACATCAACCTAATATTGTGCTCGAAAAGATTAAAATCAATGAACAATATAAGAAACATTGATAGTGCAATTTAAGTGGATGAAATCCTATTAAGCGTATAAACTATAACAAGATGGCAGTTTGTAAGATACCAATGAGCTATTGACATCCAAGGTCGAAGAGGACCATAACCGAAGATTATTGCCTTCCTCAGAGATGGGGATGCATCAATTTCCTCTTTTAAAATGGGATGCCAGGCAGTATCCTCTAATAACCTGGAAATTCACAGAATCAATTTAACCCGGGCCATTCATTAACAGAAGCCAAGGATTATGAAAAATATGATGGACGCGTTTACAGAATTAAAATATGAGAACCTTCTATCAGGCAAAAATCAGACAAATGCAAAAGCAAAAAAGAGTAAAATAAAATAACGAGAAGAGAGAAACAGACATGTTTGTTTTGGCATGATGCTTGTCATGTTTGAAGCGCCACGGTTCATATGGATAAATAAGAGGCAAAAAAGCCAAAGTTCCAACTATGTCTTCCACCAATTTATTCCTTGAGAAGGACCTATGCGCACAATCATGGCCTACCACAAAGAACTATAATACCAGTATTATGAATAAATTTTACAGTAAAAAAGAACATAAAACTATTTATGAAACAATCATGCCGAATCACAAAAAACTGTATACATTTATGTTAAAAATGAATGTAAAACAAAATGAGCAGAAAAGCGTTAGAAATTATGAAGAAATGCATATTGATCTAAACTATATTTTCTCCATAATTATTATTCATAGAATGCTGAGGGAAACTAACCCCCGTAACAGCAGTTCCGGTCCATGCCCATGCAAGCGGGAGCAAGTACCATGGAGCTTTTGTAATCATCCAAATTCCCAAAGCATAAGAAACAAAAGACACCAAAACAGATCTCCAAGCTTTAACATCATCAATCTCAAATACCTTCAAAGAAGAATTTCCCTTAGACTGAATCAAGATCATCATCATTAGCCTGATCCCAACTACTTGGGTCGGCAGAGATTGATTTAAGATATGTTTAAAACTTATTATGTCAATTGACCTTTTTCGGGAGGGTTGTAATGATGTCTTTGAGCGTAATATTATCAGGAACTGCTTCTCCAATTTTAATAAAGCCGTAAGTTTTACACATATCACTTCTTATAATATCATTCACTTGCAAAGAAGGTGAAATTGGGATAACAGAAGCCCGTACAACTTTACTCAGTTTCTTGCTGGAAAAATGTATACTCTGATGTCTCACTCTCTGATGAACTGTCAAAAAAAAACATGCCTGTTAAAATACAGAAATGATTATACATGAAAAAAGATCAATAACGTAGACGTATTTTAACCAATATTTGATGCTAACCGAGAGAATGGGGGTTAGCTTCCCCTTGATTTCTTTATGGATCGCTTTCATACTGGATGTTATATGTATAGCTAAATTGTAATTCTTCCTGGATTGATTTATTTGCAAATAGATATCGTAACAACGTTGCATTTGGAGTTGTTGCCTAATGAGTATTTAGAGAAAAACAATTTGCTAGACAAAAGCTATAAAGACTTATTTAAGTTGATTATCAAGAATTTGAAATATAATCATATGTACAATTGTTGCTTGAGATATGAATTAAAATTCTGGCATGGCTATAAATCCTTTTATAGGATAGAGAAATAAAAATTTAAATGTTAATCTGAGTTACAAACTTTCAATTAATAAGATTGGAGAATTGAGGATTAAAGATTTCAATCAAAGTGTTCATATTTGTATAAATTAGAATTCAATTTTGTCATGCATTTATTATTATTAGTTTGGATTCATTTTAATAGTCATTTGCTAAGTTGCAAATTTTGATTATAAATTTATTATTGTAATCATAAATTTTTAGTAATAATAATTTGTGAATTTTTTATATATGTATTAGCTTGTGAATGCTTAATTTATAAAAAAAAAAAAAAATTTAAGTTTTACACTTTTTTAGTAATCTAGCCAAAATCAAGTCAAACACTCTCATATATATTAAAATGAATAAATAAGAACAATAAATTCACGAACAAGAGCCGATATTGAACAAAGATAAATTTGAATGAGTTGAATATGAATAAAGAGCCAGCTTACTCAAGCTCAATGCTTTTAAACCCCTAGCCACATATATGATATGTAATTTTAGTTGGCGCTATGTTCATAATTATCATTCAATATTATTGAAATATAAAGTAATACATAATTATAAAAAATTAAATACCTCGAATATATTATACAAAAGAGTAATGATATAAATGATGATGAAACTACTGCAATTAAGGTTGGATAGTTAAAATGAAAAAGTGTATCAGAAGTTTTGTGTGATAAGAGGATATTATTGAGGCTTAAATATAAATTTTATGAAAAAAAATGAGGTGGATAATTATGGATTTGAATGTTGAACTAAGAAAAAAAGATATTCATATCTAAGTTAAGCATGGTCAAAAACGGAACATTAAGATGCATATGTGGCTAAACTAAGGAATTATTATATTAAAGGAAAGATTAGAGTGACAAGTATTGACAATAAGATAATTAAAAATAAACATAGGTGGTTTGAACATGTACATGAAAGAGTAAAAAATGCATTCATTAGACAAGCTCGAGTAGATAAAATTATTATCAGAGGATTAGGAATGAAAAGGGGTAGAACTAAGATTACACAAAAATAAATTGTGAAAAATAAATTTAACATTTAAAATAGTAGTTAACAAGAAGAATGGAAAATGAGAATTCAAAATGTCAATCCCAAATAGTTGGGATAAGGCTAATGAAGGTGATGATGATTGATGAGTCATATGAGCAAAGAATTCATAAATTCCTTAACTACTATAAAACCCACTTAGTTGTAGTGAAAAGATACTTTACATATAGTTCTTTTATTCATGGGACTCAACAAGAGGGTAGATAAAACCTTTTTCTCCCAAAATAGAGAGAGATATGTTTTAGGGCTCGTTTGATTGTTTGTAAATCGAAAACTGTTTTAGAAAGTGAGAATTTTGTTTTCACTCATTTTAAGCGCAAATTTAAATCCTCACTTTGGAGAGACTTTTGACAATATTTGTGGAGTTTGAAATCAGTGATAGTACCCAGTTGCATCGCAATCAACTGATGAACTTAATAAATTTTATAATTTTTAAAAAACATGATTACGAACTTCAAGCAACCAAATTATTTCAAAATTTTTAAACCATCGAGCAAAATGTTAAACAACAGAACGTTCTTCAAGCCAATGTAGCAGCTCAAAACAAACAACAGAAGCAAATGAATTGCAAGAATGAGCACAAAATAATAAGTTGAGATAGGTTTCTTACGCTCAACCTTAGAAGAGAAAACCTAACAAAAACCTCCTGAATTTCACAAAACTGGCATCCAAAATATAAGCTTTGTAGGGAGTCAACGCGTACCTTGACAGGCGTTTAACCTCCCACTCGAAATCGCCATTTTAGGCGGAGCCTAATAAGTTTGAAAAGAAATAATAATACAAATACAAATCAGGAAAAACAAAAACAAAGAATAGAAGAAATTGGTGGGAATGCAGATGGTGTTAGGGTCCTTCGCTATGCGTTAGTTTACCGGAAGATGAAAGGTAGAATCCACCAGTCTGCACGCCATCCGCTCGGTTGGAGAAGAGTTAGAGAGGGAAGGGGACTCTCAAGTAAACCAACCGGTGGCGGGTTTAGGACACAGATAGCATGCGAGGGCCCACCATGATTTCTTTGTGGCAGGTTACTGCAAGTTGTACTTTGTGCCTTCGTGGAAGAAAGGATAGCATTGGAGATGACAGATAAACGGGTTGAGAAGAAGGGATTCAGGCGAAGAAGGGTCAAGACGTGGATGGGCTGTGGCGGATATAGTGCCCGGGGTCGATACGGAGCTCTAAGACACGGATTTCAATCCATAATTGCGTGTGAGCGCTGGTATGCCACTTGTACAACTAGATTTATTTAGGGAGAGGGTAGAGTTTACTGAGAGAAGTTCAAGTTCAACAAGAGCAAGCGCGGACAGCGAGTTATCGGGACGGGGAGTCGCTGAGGGCCGGGAGGTTATTAGCCATGGAGTATTATAGAAAATTAAAAATTTCAAAAAATTAATTAAAAGAAAGTTTTTAAAAGGAGCTGATGTGAAATGTTAAATTTTTTTATATTTTCTTTAAAATACAAATTATTTTATGTTTTTATCATTTGTATTAAAAAATATTAAATATTAAACCCTAAACCTTAAAACTTTTAGTTTTTTAATAAACACAAAACATATTAAATTTAAAATGAAATAGATTGATACGTCATCATGAAATTATCTTGATCGAGCACGAATCTCGAGGCAAAACTCAAACCGGAAACTTTAAAAATTAAATTTGGAAGCACGTGAACTCCGATTTCAGCGAGCTTATAGTCAAATTGAGCGTCTCGGAAATACGAACCCAACGACACCAAATTAGACCCAATCCGAGCCCAAATGGGTCCAAATTAAGGAACAAAAGCGTTGTTGGAAGGTTCAAACCGCAATTTGAGTTACCAAATGGTCTCCGATTTTAACGAGCTTATACTCGAATCGAACGGCTCGACGAGACAAATCCAACGAGCTCAAGATCGCCGAATTCCGACATCACTAAGGCCCTCAAATTACCAACGAACGGCGCATGTTCGTAGGATTCGATATCGGCCGTCCATTCGACCACTCCCAATTCGCCCCTGATCTCACGCCTATTTACGGGCCATGCCACTCCATAAAATCTATAAATACAGCCCTCATTTCTCATGAGAGGGGATCCAAGCAAGAGAGAGAAGAAGAGAAGAGAAGGAAGAAGGGGAGGAGGAAGCTCCTCCTCGACGGCCGCCAGACCACCGCAGAAGTTTCGCCGAACCACCGCCGGACCACCGCAGGAACCTCGCCGGACCAACACCGAAGCCTCACCAGAGTTTCATTGCACCACTGCCTTAAGGTCCGACGTTCAGTCCTGACATCCTGCTTAAGGCCCAACGTTCAGTCCCTACGTCCTGCTGAAGACCCGACGTTCAGTTCCTACGTCCTGCTGAAGACCCGACGTTCTGCTTAAGGCCCGACGTTCAGACCCGACGTCCTGCTTAAGGCCCGACGTTCAGTCCCTACGTCTTGCTGAAGACCCGACGTCCTGCTTAAGGCCCGACGTCCTACTCAAGGCTAGACTATCAACACCCAATCTTCCAAGTGACACTGGGTCTAACACCTGACTCCTTGTCTCCTACCGCCTAC